TCTCAGATCGACCCGGAAAAAATTTTTCTTATAGAATGTGGCCTGTAGAATCCATAATTTCAAACAGTTCCAAGATTGGGCTACTAGTTCAAAAGTTACAGCCCTTTGAATTTTTCTTCGAAATTGGTTTCTAGTCTATAACTTTTGATTGAGAAGTCTGATCGAAAAAGTACGAATTGTTTTGGATTCTACGCACCAAAATTAATAAGAGAAAGTGTTTTCCCGAGAAATTTTGGTGTAGTCGATTTTTGGTAAAAAAGGGAAGGTTAAGTATTCAAATACTATGCGAAGGATTTGAATACTAAAAAGTATTTACAAAATCGAATACTGCCCAGCTCTGATTCTAATGAACATAATCACAATTGTCTGAAATTTCTACAATACGTTTCAATTTACCATATCAGATAATTCTCCTCGACATTTCAAAAAAAAAGGTAGTACAACTGGTATCAACGAAAGTGATCGCAATAATTTGATGACGGTATACTGAAATCCCACCTTTCTTCTTTAAGTTTTGGGAATTGCAGCAACCAAGCCTTCATCTCATCCTACGCCACTATTCCAAATTCCAAATGAACTGAAGTAAAATCTGCCTGCCCTTTTATTTTGAAACCCCAAGGGATCAAATAAGTCCTCTTGAAATACTGAAAGTTTAACTTTTTGTAGGCCCAAGCAAAAATTATCTTCGTTGAGATTCCCCAAGAGTCCCAAGGGTCTTCCTTGGTGAAACCTCCCAGTCCATCGCTTAAATCTCGTGATACTGACTCTATAACAGAGAGTTAGATACCCACTTCCATACGGTAAAACCATCACTTCCACCAACCAATTTCTTTTCAATGTTTAAGCGAATTTCTCTTTCCCTTTCGAAGCAAAAATATTCGTCGTCCATGTTTTTTTTGGCTAGTCAGTCACCTGCTGGCACAAATCGGCACAAAATGAGTTAAAGCCGTTTCGGTTTTTGAACTTATTGTTAACCCATTACGATTGCATGTCTTTGAGATTCGCCATATCGACAGAGAATTCCTGCCAAAATGAAATGTAACCACAAAAGCATGGCAATTAGGTCACGCGGACGTAAACAAATCTCTGCCCGAAAAAGTCCGGTCATTTTCTGTGACCAGCTGAAAGCTGAAAAAAGGTCGTTGACTTTCTTATCGCTTAGCAACAACGTTTCCAGCATATAGATTTCGTGGATCTAGCCTGGTGCATAGTTGAGGTGTGAAAACGGAATTGTTATGAGAAGGGGATGATTGTGCCTCGTCACTGAAATTGCACCTGAGGATGTGTAAAGCAGATAACACGTGGTGAGATGATGCGCCCACAAAGGGCTGTGACAGGGTTACGTCAGTTGCGTTTGAGATTGCTTTGTAAGGGGCACTATCGCGATCAATACTGTATATGCGTACACTCACTGCGAAATCTCCCCGTGTTGTTGCAATTTATAGGTGACATATTGACGTGTCAAGCTTCATTTGGCACACTTCGTTTCGAATGCACTGCCCCCAGGGAATAAAACGACTCGTTAAGGTCTTCATTTAGCATCTCCAATTAATTAGAGACAGAAGAGATAAATCCAATCTAATTCACGTGGAAAGAGAATTCAACTGATCAAAGATTAAAAGTTTTCGTTTTTGATTCTGAGCTTTTTCTTTATTTCGTATGTAGCAATAATTAATGTAAAAAATGTAGCCGATAAAAAATCCGTTAGTTTCATAACGAGAACCATTACAGAAGCACAACTTCCGCTAGTCACACTCCGATATTTTGCGCCAAAAGTTGCATAACCCATAAATGCCATCGGGTTCACCAAGAAAAAGTAAGCAAATCGTTATTTTAAACGATGTGGAGATATAGATAGTCCACTTTTACCAATCGCGGCAATAAGAAAGATGACTGGTTACTTTAGTTTAGTATTTTTCTCAGAACTGCAGCGGGTGCTGAACATGATCTTGTTTTATATAGCACTTCTACCAACAAGAACATAAAAGGGTTGCTGGTGTTTTGTTTTTTAATTCAACAAGAAAACTACCAATTGCATCCCTTGTAAAATGATAAGGGAACTTCTAGGGATCACATACCAAAGAACAAATCATCAATGCACACCTTTCCATACATTTTTCTCAGAACTGCAACGGGTTTATGGATTATTATTGAATCATTCGTTCCTCGTGACCATATGCCATTTGTTGTTTTCCCTCTGAACATTCTCCTTTAGTAAGTTACTATTGGTTGTATTTTTGCTGTTTTCCCCTTCTTGGAAATTGCCGTCTACCCATGCCATGTATTTTGTTTTTGTATCGTTTGTGTTTCTCGTAATCCTTTTCTTCCTCGTGCCACTATGACCACATCATTTTTTTTCTAATGCAAAAGTCCTTCTCCTGTTGACCTTTGCTTCGCAACTGACTTTTTGTAGGAAGAGTGTTTTTATTTTCCGAGATTAGTTGTGACATTTTGATTCCTCTGTATATTCTTTATGGCGCCTCGATGTCCATCGGTATTTCTAGAATATTCGCTAAACGATGTAATGATGCAGGCCCGAAGCGCTTGAAGCTTTAATAAACAAATATCAACATTTGATGCAAAATATTGCAATGAACTAACCAAAATTTGAATTAAAAAAGTGGCACGTGATCAAACATTTAAGGGAAGGCTCCCTTATGTTACTTATAAACAACGCCTGATCGGAAGTGTCGTAAGGAAGAACACAAAATAAAACAATGAAACAGCGTAATAGTATAATCCGTATTTTGAATAGTTATGCATTTTGACCATTTTATTTTAATAGTCAATTATCTCTAATGAGCAATAGTGAAGCTGTTGTCAAGGTATAATATAGTTTTTTGCAATTGATTCATAATAAAAGCATGATGAATATAAATCACATACACAAAACATGATATAAGAACAGGTTAAGAGCAAGTTGCAAAACAAACTGGTTGGGGTACAAGCAGATAGCAGCTGTACAACATGTGACTCGTCTTTGGTGCAATAAAACCCTTTTGTTAAAAGCAACATGGAAAATTACAAGGCCTTGGAGGTCGAATTCAACATTAACAACATAATATATCCAAATTAGTGAATATCTTGTGCAAAGATTTTAAACCGAAGAGTTTTTGTTAGCAGGATCTCGTCCCCGAGATAGGTAACTTGCCCATCGTCCAGAGAATTCAAGCCTACAGTTGAAAGAATGGTCAAAATTTATATGAATATTACTTCTGACCAACATTGAGTAACATTTACACCAGAAATGAAAAAGATTTAAAAACAATAAACAATATCTTTCTTTATTTATTTGGTAAAGTTCATTAAAAATTCGCGTTTACTGAACTGTCCAATCGGTTGGTCTGAAAATTTGTTCTTTCTTTGTTTTTGTGTTTGCATCGCCTTTAGTATGATCTTCATCGACTGCCCTATTGAGACCACTGTAGAAGGCTTCTTTATTTCTTCCGAAGGGAAGGTAGAGTTTAGATATTTTACCTTTATTCTTAGGCTACATAATCTATCTAATTTTCTTTCATCATATGTGTCCCCACTACCACGTGCCAATCTTCTGGCGTTCATTTCTTTCTTTTTCTTATTCTTTAGTTTTATGTCTCGTGTTTTCTTCATGTTCTTTTTGATTTTCTGGTCCTTCTTCATCATGTCCTTGTTTTCGTTGGTTATTCTTTTCTCTCTTTCGTTACTGTAATTCTACTCCATTCCACATTACTTATACATACTTTCCTTGGACCTATTTTGACTTCATCTCTTTCTTGTGCGATTCTTCTTACTTATATTTCTTTGGATCTCTCTGCGTTTTTAGCGCATTTCCACAAAAATAAAAAAAATGCGCCACTTTGTCCGTCCGTCTGCCCGTCCGTCCGTCAGCTCGTTCGTTGAGACGCTACTAGTTTGTTCTACTTTTTTCGCTATTTGGTTCGTTATGGTGTCGAGGCTTGCACCAATAAAGGAATTTTTTCTGCGTTTATTGCTAAAAGTTATTGTAAAAAACCAAAAAACCGTTTTTTACATGCTTTGCCGTTTATTAACGATCCTAGAGATCGTTTATAATTTTGTATTGCTGTCTGTCGTCTGTCTGTTGGTGTGTCCGTCTGTTCCTTTGTCTGTCTGCCCCATTAGCCGTCCGTGTGAACGATAACTTTGTTTAGAAATGCCCGATCGCTTTGACATCTTCGTTAGTTATGAACTGAATTGCATGAAATTCAATATGGGCATAGCTTTAGCCATATAACACGCAATGCCAAAAATTAAGTCGAATCGATTCAAAATTCACAGTGCCCTTTTCTCATCTGGACCATTTATAAACCGAATTGCAAACTTTTTTATTTATAAAAGTATTTGAATGAAATTTTATACATAGGCATAAATAAATAAATAAATAGTATAAATGAGAATCTAACGCCAGTTTCAAAATTTCGTTTTGCGCATGCGCAGTGCCAACTTTTGTATTTATGGAAGAATTTAAACGAAATTTGATACATAGGCACTTGGAATAAATGAAATGGAGGTGAGAAAGAATGAAAAGTACTTGGTCACCGGCGAACCAATTTACCTGCCCCCTTTCAAATGGAAACGCCGTTTGGGTGCAATTCAAGTGTCCCTAATTTCTTGCACCCCATTTTGGGTCACGCCAATTGTTACGTTATGGGTTCTTATGGAAGGTGCCTGGTTTAGGTGACTTGCAAAACGATTTCGTAGCAACTCATAATTATACCAATTACCTAGTGATGTAAGTCACTGAATAGGGTTTATTTCAATAATTACCATTGTTTATTTTAATGTTGTAATGCATTTAGCGTCATTTCTCGTCGTAATTTCTACGAGACGCGCAATTAAATAATTAAATGCCAATAATAACTTGTCAAGGTGGATTTGTGATTCAAGCAGACATTGTTCCGCACCATTTTCCAGTGGTTTAACGAGCCAGATCAGTGGTGTACATAATGAGATCGATTAATCACCCTATATATGCAACATCTCGGTGCCCTTACCACATTAGATGTTTGCAAAGTCGAGATGAAGCTAGTGTTTGTGTTCAGCTTAATTGTAGCTACCTGTTCTTCCAAAGAGCTGCGTAAGTTTTCATACCTTACCTATTGCTAGTTTCCAGTAGGTATGTACTTTGTATCCATTTCTTTTTGTTGAGTTTTTGATTTTGGATTGTTATCCTTGTTTTGTTAATTAATTTCGAGGACTTTAATGTTGATTTAAGTAACATCCAATGATCGCAGCGGATTTTTACCATTGTGACAATGGCCACCTATAGTCTTTGATCACGATTACGGTTTATGCAGTTGCCATATCGGACCCCAATAATGACCCCTAACATAACGTTACATTTCATGATATTTAGTGTAATGTACTGTTAAACTCAGAGGCGGTATCCTAGTGTAGTCCCTGCGTTGAAATTTTGCCGAGTAAGCTCTCCATGGCCAGAAAATGACATCGTGCTGCCGTAGTAAATGAAACGACTTTCCCCTAATGAAAACGTCTGAACCTGAGATAACTTTCGCTATCGTGTCGCCTCGACATCCTGAAGCAATTAAGAAACAAAGGGTTACAAGCTAGCAAGAGGAACCCACCAAACGGCCGACATGTTACATCATACTCCCATGAGACTATGTGACAAGACAATGCCCCTGGAGTTTCCAACACAAGTTACGAACCGGGATGTGTGCGACAGAGAAAATGGCGTCTCTGAAAAGAGGAAGAGTCCACTGAAGTACTTGATCGGCGCCAGCAAAAGGAGAAAAGGAGGTGGTTGGAAAGGGTTGTGCGACGGGCTAAACAATGGCATCTAGGAGAAGGCGTATGTAACTTTGATAGTGAATTGTGCATCAGAAATGTGGGGTAGTAAGGTCAATCCCCTTACTTACGATGCCCACAAACCTCCCCCAGCTTGCCTGATCCATCAGGATAACTAATTGTTGTCCTTTGAGAACAGTTCTTCATCCCTTAGTGGGGACGCTAAGGAGTTCTAGTAACGGTTGACTCTCCAGTTACCTTGAAATTTAAAATTTGTTTTTTTTTAATGGAGGTTGTCTCCTCTTAGACCCCTAGCCACCCCTGCTAGAGTCATTGAAGTACAGGCCTTGTAAACTATATTAGAGAACCCCTAGCGCTCACAAGCGGTGAGTTCGAATGCCACAACTTGCCAGTTTTTAGTGGTATAGAACATCTGCTTTTCATGCTTCGGAGGGCATCTAAAGCTGGCGATCCCGGCAGTCATCCCAAGACATCCGTTGACAGAAATGTGCAACTTCAAACATAACCTTCTTGGTACAAAAAAAGTGCACTCTTGTTGACACCGATTGAGTGGAAATGTATAGTTTGGAAGCATCTAATAATTATATTCAGTTCGAACCTGTTTAATATCCGGGGGGATATTATTAAACTGCACTGAGTGGAGAACGGCCTCATTCCCCAAATTATGGCCTGGACGCTCAGATGCAGGTGAACTAAAGACGTTTTATTCAATAGTCCCTTTATTCTACTTTTTGTACAGTTTATATACAGAATGATTGTGCACATTGCAATTACCTACTCTACATATTTTGATGACAACGTTATTAATAGTATACAATTTCCTACAACCCATTTCCTAATTGCTCTACATAAAACCTACGATAATAATTTATTGTTACTCTTGCTTAACTGCTTACTTGCCAATTGTTGTAATGCAACTATTCTAGGTCGTATTTACGCGAAACTAAATTCTTGTTTGATGAATATTAAACATTCTGCCGACTCGCGACAGCTCCAACGGTGTTCTGCCCTTGTGTTTCTGGTTGAGCATATATTATTGGTTCCATCTTTATGTCTTCTGTTGTTTGCCGGGATGGTTGTTGTCGTCGTTTATACCAGATATAACCTCCTCCAATAGCCAATGATGCCGTAATGATTATTATGGTAGTTAGAGTGCTCGTCATCATTGAATGTGTTGTTACTTTCTGCCATGCAGTTTCCCTAATGTGATTTTGTAGTTCTTGCTCCTTATCCCTTAGCTGGTTCAACTGTTCTCCGGCCTTCACTACAGGTTCTTCCAGTGGATGTACGTGGTGTGGGTGCCTCTTGGTATGTTGAGTACTGATATTAACGTGTTTGATGTAACTGCCGAGTACCATTATAGATTTATCTCTTCTCGGGTTTAAGATGCTTTGCCTCGTTTGTAGTCGACAATCCTGGGATAGGTTGATGATTCCCGTATTGTTTAACATAACCTCCTGTCGACGTCCGTTGCATATGATTGCCACTCTTGTGGGTTGTTTGGTAATAAACATCCACGTGTTTTCCATGTAAAGTTGTTTCCATATGGTGCTGGTAATTGTATGTTGTTGAATGTTACAATTGCTGTTCTCCGTATGGTTGTAAATTTCCCTTATGATGCAGTTAGGGCTGTCTTCCATCTTTTTTACTACTGTAGGTGCACATAGAAATTTGTGCTTCTCTATCTTAATGCTGTTCTTGAATTCTTCGTCCGTTAATTCGAAGTATAATTGATTGTTGTAGTCAACGCTAATTATGTTGTTGTCTGTACTTAATTCCCAAACGGTTGAATCTTCCATCTTTAAAGGAATGGGGGTGATCTTCATAATCACGTATTCCGTGATCTCTGCCACCACAAACACTCCGAACACGCGTATGTGAGTGTCATTCCGTTGCACCATTGTTCGTTTTATTGGATGTGCCAAAATTTCCATGCTACTGGGCAGCTGTTGTTGCGCTGTTAAGATTACCTTCCTGATGTGGGTTTCTGACAGTAAGTCGTAAAAGCTCCCTCGTTGGTAATGTACTTTTAGTACTTTGTGGTAGTGATTATAAATTTCACTAACCAGATTCATCGCTAATTGATATGTATTAAGTACTTGTATATTTAGCTTGTTTTCGTCGATTTGCCTATACCATTTTTCCATGTGATTTATCGCCTCTATTCCTTCATTTAATTTAAGGCGAAACCTTTCCAGCTGGTTTGTAATTCTCGTCTCCGTGTCATTGAATGTAGAAATGGCGGATAACATTATCTTTGTTTGATGCTCGGAATTTCGAATAACTTCTTGTTGATTCTTGTTCAGTGTGTCGATTTCTCTATACACCTCATCATTAACTCCAAAAACTGATGTTAAGATGTCTCCTAAGATTCCTCTTCTTTCACGTACACCTATCACGTGTTGTAGACCATCCTGTAGCCATCGTAGTTGGTCTTTTTGTTCATCCATGTGTTGTACCAATGTTTCACAGTGGGAGTTTTCTGTTAATGATGTGACGTTATTGCATAGTGCCTTAAACTTGTCTATGCTAACAGCTGCTTTTTCCATATCTTCAGTTATTCTGGTTTTACTATATTGGACCTCGATTCTAAATATTCCTCTCTCTATTCTTGCTTCTCCAATGTGTTCCACATATAGTCCTGGTTTAGGGTATGTTATGGTGTAATTTGCCCCTGTTGTTACCACCATTAGAAATATTGCGATCAGCAACGCCTTAACTCCTACCCTCTGTGATCTGGCAGTGCTCACTAGTGATGTTGATGTTTTGACGCGCTCTTCATTATCGCCTGTTTCAGAATTTAATGGTATTAATTGATGTATGCTGCGTTTTGATTTTTTCCCATCCGCTTTGGTGACGGTTACTACTCGTACAGTTCCATCCTCTGCTGGGTGTACTTCTTCGATCCTTGCTAACGGCCATTTACCAGGTGTTAAATGATCCTCTTTGATCAGAACCACATCTTTGACTTTGATATTATCCCTAGCGGTCTTCCATTTATACCGCTGTTGCAAGTTGTGTAGATACTCCGTTGACCAAGCTTGCCAAAATTCTCTCTTCATTTTTTGTAATAGTTTCCATCTACTGCCCAGATTGACATTGTTGTCTCCTGTTTCTTCAAACGGCTCTAATATAGGTTTTCCAATCAGAAAGTGCGCCGGTGTTAATAGCATGCTGTCATCTACTACTTCTCCGGTGTTAATTAATGGCCTCGAATTTAGACACGCCTCTATCTGTTGAGTTAACGTGGCTAATTCTTCGTATGTTAACGTCGCCTCGCCTATTACTCGTCTCAGGTGATATTTAAGTGACTTGACGCCACTCTCCCAGATTCCACCAATATGTGGACTTGCTGGTGGGATGAAATGCCATTGCGTTCCAATAGAAGTGGATTCTTCTTGAACATCCTTCCCTTGCACGATGGGTTGAACTTGTTCCAGAATTTTGCTGGCACCCACGAAATTTGTACCATTGTCACTGTATATGTGCTGACAACGTCCTCTCCTGGCCGTGAATCTTTTTAGTGCTGCAATGAATGCCTCTGTTGTCATATCACTAACAACCTCCAGGTGAATTGCTCGTGTTGCTAGACAGATAAACACCGCCACGTAACCCTTATATGATTTGTGTCCACGCCCTTTCCATGCTCTTACTTGTAATGGTCCCGCATAATCAATCCCACAATGTTGAAATGGAAACGATGGTGTTATTCTAGCTGCTGGTAGATCTCCCATTAATTGTTGCGCCGTGCGTTTCTTATATCGTATACAGGTCGTACACTTGGTGATGATCGCGTGTACTGCTTTTCTTCCATTGATGATCCAATATCGACGTCTTAAGTATGCTAACGTAATTTGAAGACCTCCATGTAATGTCTTGTGATGTGCATCCAGTATCAGCAATCTTGTAATGTACGCTTTTGGGTCCAGAATGATGGGATGTTTTGTGTGGTAAGGTAACTTGGAATTGCGTAATCTTCCCCCGACTCGTAGTACCTCGTCTTGATCTTGAAATGGATAGAGTGGTAACAATTTGCTATTCTTGTTTACTAATGTTGTCTTCCTTATTCCATCTAATTCTTCTTTGTAGGTACTTCTTTGGGATTGCTTGATGTGTTGCATCAGCGCCACCTCAATTTCCTTTACCTTTAAGTGACCTATTGGGTGCTTTATCTTCCTGCAGAGATTGATAAAACGATTACAATATGCGGTGACATGTAGCAATCTTGATAATGATGAGAATCTTTCCAGAAACCTGTTGTCTTCTACCTCAACCGTTGTTGTTAGGCATTTTCTAACCTCCAGTTCC